GGGCACAACAGAATCAAAAGACATCCTAGAGTCTGTAGTCTCAGGGCCTTGCCTCACCCACCAGAGAGTCTCCTACTGATGGGCTGACACCTCGAACCCCAATTGTCACCTGCTGCTCCCCTGACATTGGCTTATGTCTCATTGTGTTAACATGGGTGGAGTGGAACATGTGTTATCTCCCTGTTTTCCTCTTTCTAAGGTTGTGGGTTTTCCAGGATCTTCTGATGAGCTAAGCCTACCAGCTCTTGAGGAGTGGGTACTGTATCTTTTTGTTGGTTTTTCTAGATAGGGCTTCTCTGTAGCTTTGGAGCCTGTCCTGGAACTAGCGCTTGTAGACCAGGCTGGCTTTGAACTCACAGGGATCTGCCTACCTCTCTCTCCCAAGTGCTGGGATTAAAGGTGTGTGCCAACACCGCCCAGCTGTGGTACTGTGTCTTAGTCTCCATCATTCTTGACTGGAGCCCTGATCCTGTTGATATTCTTCTATCATCAGCTATAGTGCTTTCTTCAGTGATACTTTCAGAGAACACATAGGCATTTGGATAAGGACATGAACGAAGTAACAATCTTTGGTTTTTTTCTCTCTCTTTACTCTGCTCAGCTGAGCATAAACTGTGGGTAGTAACGATTACCTAAATTATTCTATTATTAATAAAGACTCCCGAGTCAGATATGGGGTTAGAACCAGATTGATCAGGGGCAGAGAAGTAACTAGTGACCTCCTTTCTTTCTCCTTCCTTAATCCAAAGAACACACATCTTTCTAAGCATCTCTCTACTACCCATGTCTCTCTATATATCTTCAGTCCTCCAAAACCTCTATGGCTAATTTTGGTCAGCTATTAGCTAGCTCTGGCCTCGAATACAAGGTAAACCTTATTGCCACAGCAGAGTGGTAGTATGAACAATTCTGCAACAGGGCAGAAATAAAGTTTAGATTTAGATGTGGCCCTTCACTGTTTCCACCTCTGTTCTCACCTCCTGCCCCAGGAAGCTGGAGTGTGTGGAGGATATTTCAAATAGTGAATGAATGGTAGTCAATTCATCTAATCTAATGCAGCAAAATATATTGCTTCTTCAGACTCAAGGAATGTCACCTGGCCAGACTTTAGGAGGCAAGCAAGACCTCTCCCAATTTTTAACTTTGTTAACATAGTTTGTGTGACTAGAGAGAGCTACAAGAGAGACCATGGGAAGGATCTCTCTTGAACAGAGCTCAAGTCTTCACAGCACCCTGGGTTCTTTTGGCCTTTTGCCTAGACCATGGACACATTAAAAAGCAAACAGAAGCAATCACTGCCAAGAAGCCTAAGTGCAGCTGCTGGAATACGGAACGATGTAGTCTTGACTTAGCTCCTGTCTTTACCTGGTTGCCCCCAGTTTCGCCTGTGACAGCAGTCTCTACAGCAGTCTGTGTGGTAGACATCTTACAGCTGGAGAAACTGGAGTTTACAAAATGCAAGGAACTTGCCTAGGATCACCAACTTTGAAGTACAAGACTAGATGCACACCACAATCTGGAACCATACTAGATGTTTCACAGAAGTGAAAGGGAAGTCGATAAAATAATCAGGAAAGCACTGGGGCCCCCGCGGCAGCAGGAATCGCAGGCAGTGCCACACAGAGTAGGCTGGCACGAGCGCCATAGTTGACACTTCCGCCGCTGTGCTGGGCACTCCTGGGGAACTTGTCATCTGCTGTTCTGCTTTTGTGTCTTTCTTCGGGAAGTCAAATGGGACTGTCTACCTGCTTGGCAGCCTCCTTGTGTGTGTCATTGTTCCAGCTGCCAGCAAGTGAAAGGGTTCCGAGGTGGAAAACTGGGTTCTGCTTCCCACCAAGACCAGCATCAGTGGTCAAGAGTGTTTGGATGCTGCCTGGCAGAGTTCAGTTGAAATTTCAGGAAACCTAGAAACTTAAAGTGCAGTTGCCACATGAGGATTAATGGTGGTTTCTGAATTAGTCACAAAACCTGACCACAGATGAAGTGATTGTCCAGCAGAACCTACCAGCTATCAGGAGCAGTCAGAGGAGCGACTGTCAGGGACAGCGCTCTCTAACTTCTAGCTGGTCCTGTGGGGTCTTCAGACCATGAGTCACCTTCTTGAGCAGTGTTTCACTGTAACCACCTCATTAGCCTTAGTGAGCATTTCTCTGTGTATCAGGAGGAGCAGGTTTTTGCCTTTTTATCTTTGTCCTGCCTTAGGCTCTTTTGTGTTAGACTACAGAACACTGGGGCTGAGATACTGCTCAGCCATTTGAGATACTTACTGCTCTTTTAGATGACCTAAGTTTGGTTTCTAGTGCCTGTACCAAGTAGTCATTACTGCCTGTAGCTTATGTTCCATGGACTCTGATGCTCTCTTCTGGCTTCACCAGGCACTCACACATGTGTGCACATACTCCACATACTACATGCACCTACATGCAGATAATGAAAATAAATCCTTTTTAAAAGGACTAGCACTGGGCAGTGGTCTACAAATCAAGTTCCAAGACAGCCAGAGCTACACAGTGAAACCCTGCCTTGGGGAAAAAAAGAAAACAAAAAGGACTAGGAAACGTATTTTAAAACAAACAAAAAATGAGGCTAGTACTCAGTAGGTACCTAAGAATATTTGAGCAATTTGAATTTTCCCTTAAAATCTTTTCTTGTGAAGCTGAAGTGATTCTTATGAATGACTAGTTCAGGTGTGAGCTGCCATGTGGGTACTGGAAATTGAACCTGAGGTCCAGTGCTCTTAACCGCTGAGCTATCTCTCTAGACCCAATATTTTAATTTTATTTTTTTTTTAGGTTTAATGTATTTTTTAAATGTGCTGTGGGAAGATGGATCAATAAGCTTTCTACTTTTGTTGTTACAGGTGTTCCAGGACTTGGGTACTGAAGTACTGTCTGGAGCTGCCCAAGGTTACAACATATGCCTCTTTGCCTATGGGCAGACGGGCTCTGGGAAGACATATACCATGCTGGGGACTCCAGTAAGTGTTAGCACTGGAATGAACTATCTTCCTAATGTCACAACAAACCTGTATCTTACATTGTCCTTACCACTGTGATATGGAGCATGACCTCCATAATCAATATTAAAGGGATTAAAGGCATGCGTGTGACCCTCTCCTATACTTAACAATGGCATTTCACTAGTTTACCTGAACAGTAAAGTTTGTATAATTAGTCTCTCTTTGTGAAACTTTGAAAAACTAGACTTTCATGATTCCCTTTGACAATGAGTCCTTGTTGGTCCCACTGGATATATGTATTACTTCCAGGTTCATCACATAAAGCTTCACAATTTGACTGGGGTTAAACCTGGACTGCATTTTAGTGCTATACAGGGATAAGAATGCCGTGTTCAGCTTTCAAAGCTATGTGTATTAGAAGAAAGCAAGAGATGTAGCTTTGCTGGGGGCTTTTAAAAATGTAGAGTATAATGCAAGTTGTTTTTAATCACAGAAAATTGAGGGGATAATGCCAGGTATGGTGGTACATGCCTTTAATCCCTTTAATCTTTGAAGGTAGTAGAGGCAAGGCAAATCTTTGAGTTCCAGGCCATCCAGGGATACACACTGAGACTCTGTCTCAAAACAGACAACAGCAATAAAAATAAAATTAAGGGGATAGCATTCCTTAAGAATACCCTTAGTCAGGACCACGAGGGGTGCACCCACCCACTGTGACAGTGGAACTGATCTATTGGGAGCTCACCAAGGCCAGCGGGACTGGGACTGAGTAAGCATAGGATGAAACCGGATTTTCTGAACGTGGCGGACAATGAAGGCTGATGAGAAGCCAAGGACGATGGCACTAGGTTTCGATCCTAATATGTGAACTGGCTTTGTGGGAGCCTAGCCTGTTTGGATGCTCACCTTCCTGGTCCTGGATAGAAGTGGGAGGACCTTGAACTTCCTGCAGGGCAGGGAATCTAGACTGCTCTTCATTCTCGAGAGGGAGGGGGAATGGAGTGTTGGGAGGGAAAGAGGAGTGGGGAGAGGGGGAGGGGAGTGGGGGAAGGGGTAATGTGTGCGAGGAGGGGGAGGGAAATGGGATTTTTTTGTTTTGCAACAACTAAAAAAAAAAAAAAAAAAAAAAAAAAGAATACCCTTTCTAGCCAGGCAGTGGTGGTGCAAGCCTTTAATCCCAGCACTCTGAAGGTGGAGACAAGTGGATCTATGTGAATTTGAGGCTAGCCTGGTCTACAAGAACTAGTTCCAGGACAGAGTCCAGAAACCCTGTCTCGAAAAAACAAAACAAAACAAACATAGAAGATATAGAAGTATGCTAGTGAGATGACCTGGGCACTGGTTGACAAATAACATTGTATAGAAACAATCTGAAAAAATAGCCCACTTCTCTGGGTACAGCTCACTGTTCCCTTTGTCTGTGGTTAGTGTGGTTTCAGACATTTGAAATTAATAAAAAAAATCCTACTAGGTCAAAGGGGATAAAACCTTAAGCCTCTGGTTATGAGATAGAGGAAATACCTACTTCTTTGGATTTTTGCAGTTTTGCAGAGGGTGTTTGTGTGTGCTTCTGTATCTAGGGATCTAGACACAGTAGGGATCTAGAAGAGACCACATTAGTGGTGGAAAATGATAAAGTTCATTGCAGGAAAGCACATGTCTAAGTTTGCCAGCTTCTCCTATCTATCTTATGGTAATAATCTGCCTCTCATCTGTGTCTTTTGATAGTGCCAGCCTCAAGTTTTATATGTCCTTCTATAGTGGCTAGCTAGCACTAAGCCCACACACCCCTCCTCTGTGTTTGGGGGGGTCCAGGGTCCCGGGTGTTTGGGGGTAAGAGGAGGGCAGGGGCATTGCCCAGAGTGAACAGTAATGTTTTTCTTTTTCTGTCATCCAGGCTTCTGTTGGGCTGACCCCACGGATATGTGAGGTATAGACTCTCTCTGATGATGTACTTTCAGAGTAAGTTTCCTATGTCAGCTCCCTTCAGGGAAATCTGACCCTCTGATTTTGTGCAGGCTCTCTTCATCAGGGAAGATGACTGTGCCTCACTGCCTTCTTCCCGCAGCATAAAAGTAAGGTAAGAACTCAAGCTCCAGACCCCTAAATGTCCTAGTTCCTTGGTCTATTTGTAAAGCTCCTAGCAGTGAGACCAGGACCTGTCCTTGATGCTTAGATGGCTTTTGGGAATCTGTTTCCCATGCTGGATTTCTTCAACCAGCCTTGATGCAAATGGAGGAGCTCAGTCCTGCCTCAACTTGATGTGCCCTGCTTTGTTCAAGCCCATGGGGGGCTGCACTTTTCTGAATGGAGGCAGAGGAGGAGTGGATGGGGAAGGGGGGATGGGAGGAGGAAGGGACTTGATGCCCAGGACAGAAGGAGCAGAGGGAGGGAAAACTGTAATTGATATGTAAAATAAATGGAAAAAAATGTTAATTAAGTTTTAAAAAATTAACTAAAAAAATGCTATCTTAGTTCCTTTCCTGTTGCTATGATTAAACGCCAAGACCAAAGCGACTGATAGAAGAAAGAGTTTATTTGGACTTAGGGTTCCACAAGGTTAGGATATATAATGGTGGGTACAGGAAGCTGAGAGCTCATATCTTAAACCATAATCATGAAGCTGAGAGAACTAGTGGGGACTGTCAGGATTATTTTAATCTCGAAGCCTGCCCCAGTGACACACTTCTTCCAGTAAGGCTGTTCTGCTCACTGTCTTAGTTACTTTTCAGTTGCTGCAAGAGGACACTAGGACCGAGGCAACTGGAGGGTCCCTATTGCGAACAGCACTGAAATCTGTGGAGTCCTAAAGGTAAGGAAGATGTCTGTTCCAGCAGAGGATTCTGATTTGTGTGTCGACCCCTAAATAAATAACCGTCTATTTGTTAGTTCTGAGCTAGTGTGGGATTTCTTTTAAGCGTCCTTCCACATAACTGAGACCCTTTTCACATAAATTTTTGATTTTATACTCAGTTTATGTGGTAAAAGATTCATTCTGAGATAATATCTTCTCTCTACATTAAAATTCCTGTAGTGGAATGTTAGGGGGGGTAACATGACCAAAATGCAGTTAAGACTCAGATCTACATGATCCACATGTGCCTTCTGTAATTTCTCTTCAATCAAAGCCAATTCTCTCTTCCAGTTGACAATACCCTGGGTCTGTTTAAGTCATTGTCACCAAGGTTTTGTTTAAATTAATCAGGTCGTCAGGTTTTATTCCAATAGTGTGCCATAGAAGGAAAATGTCCCCTAGCAATCTTTGGAAGTCATTAAGAGTCTGCCAATAGTCTTTCCTAATTTGCACCTTCGGGGTTTTATTTTTTATAAACCTATTTTATAAGCTAAATAATTTAAGTTTATTATATTGCATTTAAATTAAAGATATTACACATAATACTGCTTCAAGGGACATTTAGTACCCCCTGTATATTATTCTGGGACGTGGACATACAACTGAGATCAAAAGAGACTTCTTTTTTTTTTTTTTTGGTTTTTCGAGACAGGGTTTCTCTGTGGTTTTGGAGCCTGTCCTGGAACTAGCTCTTGTAGACCAGGCTGGTCTCGAACTCACAGAGATCCACCTGCCTCTGCCTCCCGAGTGCTGGGATTAAAGGCGTGCGCCACCACCGCCTGGCGAGACTTCTTATAATAAAGTGTGATAAGGCAATAAGATAGTTACGTTAGGTGGCAAAATAGATATAGTAAATACACAACTTTAAATAAGCAGCTGAGAGATGCCTCACCGAGCTACTATTTGAGCCTCGGGATTGTGTGGTCATTAGGATGAGATTGCAAATACAGTGCGCTAGCTGAGTGCTTGGTGTACAACGAGATTCCATAAATTCATAGTAACATTCTTACGAAGAATGTCTGAAATCATTAGGAGTTGGCTAGATTTCTGCACCCTCTGCCGGCCGGCCTTTTGGGGGGAAGGAGCACTTGATGAGTGCTCTCTGTCTCTTGTTGGAGCTCCTCACTGACTCTTCCCAGAGCCTGAGCCCTTTGATCTCTGTCTGCTTATCCCAGCTGAAGCACCACTTTCCAACTCTTCACTGTCTCTTAGATCACATCCTGAGCGATCCCAACAAAGGATGCCTTGTGAGGTCAGGTTGTAGTCCGACCCTTGCTAAATTGCTGTTGTCTTTTACTAGCCTTGTCTCTGGTTCTCATTTTTTCATCGCAAAGTTAAAAAGCCATACTAAACCAAGTTTCAGGCTCTACTCCGGGTGGGTTCTCACACAGAACCCAATACTAGCAGCTGGTGCCCCTAGTCCAAAATCTCCTCAAAAGCCTGGCCCATAGTCTCTAGCACAAACAGCAGTAGGTAAGAAATTAGGGTAAACCTGAACTCCCAAACTATGCAGCAAACACCTGATGTTTGCAGAATACCCATCCTCTCTCCATAGCCCCGCCTTCTTGGATCTTCTCCTGGGTCACACCCCAACACATAATCATCTGCCATGCCTCTCCCCCTTAGAACCCCTTGGTTGTGTCTTTGTGGAAGTGGAAGGTTGTAGGGCATCAATTGGTGTCTGTCATTGTGACGCGATAGGTAACAAACAAGGCCTGCCTGGTCGCCAGGGTAATGGCGCGTTCGCAGTTCCAAAGGCAGAAGCCTCAGTCTCGTCTTCCGACCCAAGGAGAGTGGTCGTGCTTCAGGGACGCGGAGGCGGAGGCGCTGAGTTTGGGATTCCAGAGTTGACGTGGCTTAGGTCGAGCGGGATTCCTGAGTTGACTTGGCTTAGGTCGAGCGGGGGGGAGCCCGGCTTTGCCGGTGGCTCCCACCTGCAGGTGAGTGTGGTGGGCAGGCCTCGCTGGGAGCCCCGCATAAGCCCACAGTGCACCGCACCGCTGGCCAGGGGACACTGGAGCTCAGCCGGCCGCCCCGCCCCTCGGGGCTCCGCCTCTGTCACCTGCCCATCCTAGGTGGCAGCCCAGTTGCTGCAGCCCTATGAGGCCCAGGAGCATTTAGACACCCTGGTGGCCTGGTGGCCAGCAGGGTCCTTTCTCCTTGGGAGAGGCTCAGAGGTGGGCGAGCCGGCCAGTCCTGCGTGTTTCTAGGTGGGGTGTGTGACAAAGCCTGGCTTTAAGTCTAGAGACTCCTTTATAAATATGCTAATCACCCTCAGTGGAAAACCACACACTATATGCCTGAATCTCAACATCATATACCTTATGGACTGTACAGATATGTGTCAATAAAAATAAGAACTTAAGTTTCCTATGGGTGTCTCTAAACATAATTATTTAACAGTTTCTGTTCATTTTTCTTTACAAAACCACTTCTCATTGATAAAACACAGATATAGAAAGGCACACTATAAAACATATAGTTACTGTAACAGATATAACTTGGTTGTCCATTCTAGAAGCCCTTCTTTATGCTTTCCTTTTAGTTTTATTATCCTTTTGGGAATCTTGCCCTTTTCACTTGCTACGTCTTCCATCTTTTGCTTACAACTGTGTGTTGAGAGACATGGGTCCTGCGGCTGTGGAGTTGGACATTCCGCAGGAGTGCACATGGGTTATGTGGTTCAGTGTGTTCCTCTGTCCTCTGCGTTTCCTGCAGATGTAGCAGGATGGGTGGCCTGAGTTTCCATGCTTTGACAAGACTCTAGAAGGTGGTTATCTTCTTTCTTTGGGAAGTTCATAATGTCTGGACTTTACTTTATCAGCTATTGACTGATCGGTATCTAGATACCTTGATCAGGGCCTGAAAATGTTAGAATAGTTGTTTTCTTTTTTTCTGAATAATTTTATGGGAAGGTAGTGCACACTCGTGCGTGCGTTCATGTTTGTGTGTGTATGTGCGTGCGTGTGTGCGTGCAGGCTAGAGGTCAGCCCTGGGTGCCCTTAGGAATCCTCCACCCTTGCCCTTTTGAGACAGGGTCTCCCTGGGACCTGTGCTGGTCAGATAAGTGAGGATGGCTGTCCAGGGAGTCTCGAGGTCTTGCCTTCACATTTTTGGTTCTAGGATTCCAAGTGTGCTGCCAGACCTGGCAATCTGTGAGCCATTCCCTCATCAGTGTGCTCGACACACTGATTAGTTAACAAACGCCAATTGGCTCTGCCCTTTGCTTGGTTTGTTGCACACCCGTGGCTACCATCTGCTTCCTCTTGAACGGACACTGCTGAAGCCAGATTTGGTGGTGGTCGTTGATTTTGACTGTTGCTACGTTAACCTGGGGGTTGATAGGAAACTTGATTGTGCAGGGACGACTTTTCTATTGTTGGGGGGCGCTGTTTGTTCTGCTCAGGTTGCCCACAGGTCTTTGCTGTTCCTCTACTTGCTTTGCTCTTATCTGGGGATCTAAGAAGCACACACATGTTCCTTCTTCCCTGTTTATTGCCATCTTCTGAGTCCATCAGTTGGTTGTTTGCTTATTCCCAAGAGCGGCATGTAAAATTTAAAGACAGAATGATCATCTGATAAGTTATATTCTAGTATGAATTTCTTTAGAAGATTTATACAGATCTCTATGGAAGATTACTGATGGTGTTCATTTCCTTTATTAAAATTAATCTTCAATGGTTGGGGTGTGGATTAGCAGTTGAGTGTCTACACAGCATGCGCAGGCCCTGAATCCTCAGCATAGGGGCTTTGGGGGTGTAGCTTTTCTGAGCACAGCCTTTTCTTTATGGGTTTAATTTTCTGTTCACTGATTTCTGCTCTGGACTTTGTCTCCTGCTCTCTGCTTGTGTAGCCTTTTGTTTTCTAATTCTGCTCAGAACAAGCGGATACTGATTTCAGTCATTTACTACTGTAAATGTCTATACTCCACATTGAATAGTGACTCTCCACTGACACCACATGGTTTGTCAGGGAAACTACATGAAAGAACGGGCTTCGGGAACACATGAGAAGGGAAATTTTGATGAGTCTTGGGGTTTTATCGAAAATCAGAAAAGGATCAATGTGGGAGAAGGAAAACTTAAGATTTTTGTTTATCAATGAAAAAACATAGGGTATTAAAAGGCAGCCCTTAAGACATCCTTGACAATGATGTCCTTGCATTTAAAGATTGTGTTCTTGCATTTTATTATTCAAACTGATCCTAGTGATGGTGCGTGCAATAAGGCACCTGAGCAGGACAGGGTGTGGCACACAGCTGGCTGCACCCAGAAGCCAGTGACAGTCCCTTCTCTCACACAGATGATATGGGTACTAATGTCTAGCTGCACCCATCTGCTTTACTTACTCTCCAGCAGCCTGTATCTGTTTTTACTGATTGTTGCGCTTTCTTTCTATTTCTCTTGCAGAGATGCTGAGCCTATTTTATGATTTAGGAAATGCAGTTTTACATGAATTGTCGGGCTATAATGCCGAGCAAAATATGAAAGATCGTTTGAAAGCTGTGAGTAACTTTGTCCAGATCCAGAGTAACAAGACCTCCGTTGTGTGTTCTTCTGAGGAGAATAACTTAAGCTAGAGGGATGTGAGCAGCCTCCCTCGTGCAGTAGAAGTGATGTTTAAGAAAACCACTGCCACTCTGTAAATGATCCTGTTAGTCCGAGAGCTGTGGGGAAAGAAACCAAGTGTAGATGAGCCGGGAAAGATGGGTCTCTGCTATCTACTTAGACAGTTTACTATCAAACTGTCTTAAGAAGTTATTGTTAACCGGCGGTTGTGGCGCACGCCTTTAAACCCAGCACTCGAAAGGCAGAGGCAAGCGGATCTCTGTGAGTTCAAGGCCGGCCTGGTCTACTAGAGCTGGTTCCAGGACAGGAGCCAAAAGCTACGGAGGAAACCTTGTCTCAAAAATCAAAAAAAAAAAAAAAAAAAAAAAAAAAAAAGAGAGAGAGAGAGAGGGGGAGATACAAAAAAGTTATTGTTAACATCTTCCTTCTCCCCTTCCTCCTCCCTATCCTCCCTTTCCTCCTCCTTAGGGACATAACTCTTGTTCCACGGGAAAAGTGTAAAGAGTAAATTGGACTGGAACACTGTATTTGTTTATAAACCTCTGTTTATTTCTGTAAATTTGTCTGCCTTTCTTGTAGTTTGCATTGTATTTTCCAACCCTTGAGGATTCAAAAGATGTCCATGAACTTTTTCAAAGACAAGTGGCAAGCCAAAGAGTTGAGGGCTTTTGTTTTGTTTAAATAATTTTTGATAAATTATTTTAATTTAATTTAATTTGTTTGAGACAGGGTCTCGTGTATTCCAGGCTGGTCTCCAACTTGCCCTGTAGCTAGCCAAAGAATGACCTTGGACTCCTGATCTCTCAGCCTCTGCCTTCTGAGTGTTGGGTCCTAACCACACATGGGTATCGCTGTAGAGAACAGGAACCGTCAGGTATTGGGGGCGTGTGCAGTTTGCCCTGATGCTGCTGTGCCCCTGTGGCTCACAGTGGTTGTAAGTCAGCCTCGACTCCCCCTGCCCCCTGTATTATATTATCAGAAGTGTTCCTTCTGAGGGGAGTTTTTCAAGTTCTGAGCCACAGCCCTTGAGGGCACTTGTTACCTCCCAGTGCCCTGCTTAGCCTTGCCTTTCAGGGACATTGCTGTCCCTTGACTGCACTGGGGATGTGGCTCAGGAGAAGAGCACCTATGCAGTGTGGATAAGGCCCTAGGTTTAGCCCCTCCTACAGCAGGGCCACGAAAAGGAGGGGAATCTAATAGGGTTGTTTAACATCTCAAAGTTGGTTTTAAAGGCAAGTAATTTCTTTGTTTGAATTCTTTTCATCCTCTATGGTTCCTATGGCAACTCTCTTCCCCTGGCTGTGGTGGCAGGCACTAACCTTTTCCTTTTCATGTTGAAGCTTTCAGACTTTCCATGAGTCATGTTGTTAGATTTTTTTATTTTTTCCATTTTATACTCTGCATTTCACTCAGGCTTACTACTTTGCCCTCAGGCCTTAAACATGCCAGCATCTTATATCATCATTTCCTTTCCGTGTTCAATAAATGGTGTCCAGCCGTCCCAGTCCGCTCCAGCTGTCAGTCACAGCAGCCCTGTAACCACGGTGTGCCATGGTGTGCTTAGTGCAGCGTGCATGTGTGCATGTGTGTGCCTGGGGACATGGAGGACAGCAACAGAAAAGAGTATCAGAGACAAGATGAGGGTGTGTCAGATCTTTTGAAAATGGAGTAACAGGTATTTGTGGCTTCTAGGATCCAAACCCTAGTCACCATTTTTCTAGGACAAGCTTTCTTAAACTCAGCTATCTTCCCAGCCCAAAATTTATCCCTTTGTGTTAATTTTTTTTCTTGATTCTGTCGTTGCTGTTTGATTTTGTTGTGGTGGTTGGTTGGTTGGTTTTATTTGTTTTTGTTTGTTTGTTTGATTCAGGGTCTTTCTGACTGTTCTGGGACTCTAAACCAGGATGGCTTCTAAGAGAGATCTTCCTGCTTCTTGCTCCTGAGTGCTTCTATCACTTTAATGAAGCTGCAATTAAATGTCTCTAAAAGGCAAACAGTGTAAAAGATAAAATATATATTGATTGTAACTCTTAAGTAAGTGACTTCAATCTGTTGCAATTTTCAGCATTATAAGAACTCAGAGGAGCTGAAAGAACTAAAACAAGTCAAGGAGAAGGAGAAAGTGATTACCAGTTTACAAGCCCAACTTCACCAGGCACAGTCAGAACAAGCCGTGAAGGTAGGAGTGAGTCACCTCGGTATTATTATCTTAACAAATCATTACCAGCCAATGGATATCCACAGCAAATGCCTCTTGTAAGACAATCAGTAGCAATCTTCTATCAGCTGGTCGCTTCCTGCCTTACCTCACTCTCTCGCTTACTTCCACATCTACTCATTTATTAGAGTTTGCAAACGGGTGTGGCATTCTCGGTTGGTATTTGCACATATTCAGTGTATTCTTCATATATGGATCATGTGTTTTCAGAAACTCGTGAATTACATGATTCATAGCATTCGGTCATCTCCGATGCTTTCATTTTCTCCTTGCAGGATTCTGTTAACCTTTATTTTTGGTTGTGTATTTTTTTTAACCAATTTTGATTAATATTTTTTAGATTTATCCTTTTCTCATTTAACTCAAGGCATTCTGTTTTGTGTTTGGCTTTCTCTTCTGAAACAAGCTTTCTTTTATATCAACTTCATGAATTTTATTACTTTTTCAAACTTTTCTAACTCTAATTTTCCTTTCATGTCCTCTTCATTTTTCTTAAACATGTTTAACTATGAAATAAGTTACAGTGTCTTTCAGCATATTGTTCGGCTCCTTGTTCTTCGTGATTTTTGTTGTTGTTTTTGAAGGAAGGTCTCACAATGTAGCCCAGTTTTACCTTGAACTTGTGGCAGTCCTCCTGTCTCAGCCCCTAGAGTGCTGGATTTATAGGCATGAGCCACCATGCCTGACTTTTGAATGATATTATATAATTGTTCATGCATCTTTTGTGTGAATGTTTGTGCTTACATGTATGTATATGCACTACATACCCCCAGAGGTCAGACAAGGACATCAGATCCCCGGGAATTGGAGTTACAGATAGCGTGGGTGCTGGTACAGAACCTGGATCTTTTCATGTGAGCAGCAAGTGCTAGTAGCGACTGAAACATTGCTAAGCCTCTATCTATACAGATCACATATGGGATTTTTTCCTATGGATGGCCTGCATTTACCCATGATCAAAGAACAGGAAGTGTTGCATCTCTTCTAATACTAGCTGCCACCTATTCCTGCAAATACTTCTAGGTTACCTTGGATTTTTTTCACTATTCCACAGGAACATCAGATGTAGCTGTATTGCTGTCTTTTTTATCATTATTATTTTATAGTCTCTAATGCCAAGAAAATCCCAATTTTCATGGTTTGCCTTTAACTTGTTTAGTGCAAGGTTTGTAGGATAGCTCCCTACATATTGTTACTGTTGTTCATGTTTTTTTGCTCACTGTCTGATTGGTCTGTCTCTTTGCTATGTTAGCTTTCAAAGAAATTGAAAAGCATATTGCTATTGCTTCTCTCTTCTTCTGAAAAGTTTTGGCAATTCAATGATACTTTATAAATTAGCAAATAAAATTTGTTTTGCTTTAAAGTTGAAATTACAAAAAAAATAGGGTAGGTATTCAAGGCAAATGAGAAAGTCAAAAGAACTAAAAGTTGCCATTCCATTGATTAAGTAAATATTTTCCCCCTTCAGTTGGGTAAGAATTCGGTTGGGATGGAGGAGTTCAGCCTGATAAAGGAGCAGCTTCAAGAAAAGGAAGAAATCATTAGCACTTTGCACACTGAGCTCAGACAGACACAGGAAGAGCAAGCTGCACAGGTAGGATGATGGCGCCTCCATTAGGATAGAATCCATGGGGTCCAGAATGGTGCAGGTGGCAAGTCAATACCGGCATTCACTTGATGCTTGATAGATGAAAGTGTGGTAGCTAGGATATTAAAGCCAAGCCTAGGAGGGTGTGGCAGAAGAAGCTACAAGTATGGTAAGTGGTTCATATCATAGTAGGAAACATCAGAAACCCTCAAAAATGCCATTTAGGTTGGTGAACTTGCCATAGCTTCATGATGACTGGTTTTATTCCTAGGTCCAGGTACTCCATTATAATGCACACAGAGATTGTGTATCTCAGGTATGGCCTCTTGGCAGAACTCAAAGGAAACAGATAGATAAAACAAAGAAATCAAATTATTACTTCCATTCTTTTCTGATTAAAACCTTTTTAGGAAGATATATCTTAGCCTTAAAGCTACTTACTGAACATAGACTAAAGAAGTGGAGGGTATGAGGCTCATTGCTAATGACTCTAGTATGCAGCATTCTTCTTCATGGTCATTCTGAAGCCAGAGCCAGATCAGTAGAGCTCTCCCGTCAGTCTGTCCCTCCCTGACTGCCCCTCCCTCTCTCCCCTGCTTCCTGGTCTACTCATTTTTTAGAGTTTGCATGTGTGTGTGTGGCCTTCTTGGTTGGTATTTGCACATACTTAGTCTATTCTTCATGTATAAATCGTGTGTTTTCAGAAACTGTTGAATTACATGATGCATAGCATTCAGTCAGCAGCGATACTTCTATTTTTTCCTTGCAGGTTTCTGTTAACCTTTATTTTTGGTTGTGTATTTTTTTCCCAATTATGATTAATATTTTTTTGATTTATTCTTTTTCTTATTTAACTCTAGGCATTCTGTTTTGTGTTTGACTTTCTCTTCTGAAACGAGTTTTCTTTTATATGCACTTCAGGAATTTTATTACTTTTTAAAACTTTTCTAACTCTAATTTTCCTTTCATGTCGTCTTCAATTTTCTTAAACATGTTTAACTATGAAATAAGTTACAGTGTCTTCAGCATATATTTCTGCTCCATATTCTTCGTGATTTTGGTTGTTGTTTTGGAAGGAAGGTCTCACAATGTAGCCCAGTTTTACCTTGAACTTGTGGCAGTCCTCCTGTCTCAGCCTCTAGAGTGCTGGAATTATAGGCATGAGCCACCATGCCTGACTTTTGAATGATATTATGTAATTGTTCATGCTTCTTTTGTGTGTTTGTTTTTGCTTACATGTATGTATATGCACTACATACCCACAGAGGTCAGACGAGGACATCAGATCCCCGGGAATTGGAGTTACAGATAGCGTGGGTGCTGGTACAGAACCTGGATCTTTTCATGTGAGCAGCAAGTGCTAGTAGCAACTGAAACATTGTTAAGCCTCTATCTATACAGATCGCTTATGGGATTTTTTTCTTATGGATGGCCTGCATTTACCCGTGATCAAAGAACAGGAAGTGTTGCATCTCTTCTAATACTAGCTGCCACCTATTCCTGCAAATGCTTCTTGGTTACCTTGGATTTTTCCCTATTCCACAGGAACATCAGATGTAGCTCTATTGCTGTCTTTTTTATCATTATTATTTTATTGTCTCTAATGCCAAGAACATCCCAATTTTTCTGGTTTGCCCTTAACTTTTTTAGTGTAAGGTTTGTAGGATGGCTTTTACATATTGTTACAGTTTTCCATGTTTTTCTGCTCACTGTCTATTTGGTCTGTTTCTTTGCTCCGTTACCTTTCAAAGAAATTGAAAAGCGTATTGCTATTGCTTCTGTCTTCTGAAAAGTTTTGGCAATTCAATGATACTTTATGAATTAGCAAATAAAATTCTTTTTGCATTAAAGAGGAAATTAGAAAAAAATAGGGTAGGTATTCAAGGCAAATGAGAAAGTCAAAAGAACTAAACGTTGCCAATCCCATTGCTTAAGTAAATATTTTCCTCTTCAGGTGGATGAGAAATCAGCCATTATGGAGGAGTTTGTCCTGATGAAGCAGCAGCTTCAAGAAAATGAAGAACTCATTCGCACTTTCCGGACTGAGCTCAGGCAGACAAAGGAAGAGCAAGCTGCACAGGTAGGATGATGGCGTCTCCATTAGGATAGTATCCATGGGGTCCAGAATGGTGCAGGTGGCAAGTCAATCCCGGCAGTCACTTGAAAAGCTTGGTAGATGAAAGTATGGTAGGTAGGATATTAAAGCCAAGCCTAGGAGGATGTGGCAGAAGAAGCTACAAGTATGGTAAGTGGTTCATATCTTAGTAGGAAACATCAGAAACCCTCAAAAATGCCATTTAGGTTGGTGAACTTGCCATAGCTTTATGATGACTGTTTTTATTCCTTGGGTCAAGATACTCCATTTTAATCGCACACAGAGATTCTGTATCTCTGGAACGGGCTCATGGCAGAATTCAAAGGAAACGGATAGATACTACAAAAGAAATCCAATCATTACCTCCATTCTTTTCTGATTAAAATCCTGTTAGGAAGATATATCTTAGCCTTAAAGCTACTTACTGAACATAGACTAAAGAAGTGGAGGGTATGAGGCTCATTGCTAATGACTCTAGTATGCAGCGTTCTTCTTCATGGTCATTCTGAAGCCAGAGCCAGATCAGTAGCTCTCTCCAGTCAGTCTGTCCCTCCCTGCCTGCCCCTCCCGCTCTCCCTTTCTTCCTGGTCTACTCATTTATTAGAGTTTGCATGTGTGTGTGTGTGTGGCGTTCTTGGTTGGTATTTGCACATACTCAGTGTATTCTTCATGTATGAATCGTGTGTTTTCAGAAACTCTTGAATTACATGATGCATAGCATTCGGTCAGCTCCGATGCTTTCATTTTTTTCCTTGAAGGTTTCTGTTAACCTTTACTTTTGGTTGTGTGTTTTCATTTTACCAATTGTGATTAATATTTTTTTGATTTATTCTTTTTCTTATTTAACTCAAGGCATTCTGTTTTGTGTTTGACTTTCTTTTCTGAAACGAGCTTTCTCTTATATCAACTTCATGAATTTTATTAATTTTTCAAACTTTTCTAACTCTAATTTACCTTTCATGTCCTTTTCATATTTCCTAAACATGTTTAACGATGAAATAAGTTACAGTGTCTTTCAGCATATTTTTCTGCTCCTTATTCTTCGTGATTTTTGTTGTTGTTTTTGAAGGAAGGTCTCACAATGTAGCCCAGTTTTACCTTGAACTTGTGGCAGTCCTCCTGTCTCAGCCTCTAGAGTGCTGGAATTATAGGCATGAGCCACCATGCCTGACTTTTGAATGATATTATGTAATTGTTCATGCATCTTTTGTGTGAATGTTTTTGCTTACATGTATGTATATGCACTACATACCCACAGAGATCAGACGAGGACATCAGATCCCCGGGAATTGGAGTTACAGATAGCGTGGGTGCTGGTACAGAACCTGGATCTTTTCATGTGAGCAGCAAGTGCTAGTAGCAACTGAAACATTGTTAAGCCTCTATCTATACAGATCGCTTATGGGATTTTTTTCTTATGGATGGCCTGCATTTACCCGTGATCAAAGAACAGGAAGTGTTGCATCTCTTCTAATACTAGCTGCCACCTATTCCTGCAAATGCTTCTTGGTTACCTTGGATTTTTCCCTATTCCACAGGAACATCAGATGTAGCTCTATTGCTGTCTTTTTTATCATTATTATTTTATTGTCTCTAATGCCAAGAACATCCCAATTTTTCTGGTTTGCCCTTAACTTTTTTAGTGTAAGGTTTGTAGGATGGCTTTTACATATTGTTACAGTTTTCCATGTTTTTCTGCTCACTGTCTATTTGGTCTGTTTCTTTGCTCCGTTACCTTTCAAAGAAATTGAAAAGCGTATTGCTATTGCTTCTGTCTTCTGAAAAGTTTTGGCAATTCAATGATACTTTATGAATTAGCAAATAAAATTCTTTTTGCATTAAAGAGGAAATTAGAAAAAAATAGGGTAGGTATTCAAGGCAAATGAGAAAGTCAAAAGAACTAAACGTTGCCAATCCCATTGCTTAAGTAAATATTTTCCTCTTCAGGTGGATGAGAAATCAGCCATTATGGAGGAGTTTGTCCTGATGAAGCAGCAGCTTCAAGAAAATGAAGAACTCATTCGCACTTTCCGGACTGAGCTCAGGCAGACAAAGGAAGAGCAAGCTGCACAGGTAGGATGATGGCGTCTCCATTAGGATAGTATCCATGGGGTCCAGAATGGTGCAGGTGGCAAGTCAATCCCGGCAGTCACTTGAAAAGCTTGGTAGATGAAAGTATGGTAGGTAGGATATTAAAGCCAAGCCTAGGAGGATGTGGCAGAAGAAGCTACAAGTATGGTAAGTGGTTCATATCTTAGTAGGAAACATCAGAAACCCTCAAAAATGCCATTTAGGTTGGTGAACTTGCCATAGCTTTATGATGACTGTTTTTATTCCTTGGGTCAAGATACTCCATTTTAATCGCACACAGAGATTCTGTATCTCTGGAACGGGCTCATGGCAGAATTCAAAGGAAACGGATAGATACTACAAAAGAAATCCAATCATTACCTCCATTCTTTTCTGATTAAAATCCTGTTAGGAAGATATATCTTAGCCTTAAAGCTACTTACTGAACATAGACTAAAGAAGTGGAGGGTATGAGGCTCATTGCTAATGACTCTAGTATGCAGCGTTCTTCTTCATGGTCATTCTGAAGCCAGAGCCAGATCAGTAGCTCTCTCCAGTCAGTCTGTCCCTCCCTGCCTGCCCCTCCCGCTCTCCCTTTCTTCCTGGTCTACTCATTTATTAGAGTTTGCATGTGTGTGTGTGTGTGTGGCGTTCTTGGTTGGTATTTGCACATACTCAGTGTATTCTTCATGTATGGATCGTGTGTTTTCAGAAACTCTTGAATTACATGATGCATA